CTCTGTGGTGTCTAATGTGTGTGTGGGTAGTCTTGGTGTTTTGGTTGGAAAGCTAATGGATCTCATTGTTTTCATTTCTTTCAGAGTCTATGAGGAAGGAAGGGACAGTATCCCTGAACATCCGTGTGTCTATGAGGTAAAATATATGTATCCATATGTATTTCATATATACCCACGTAGAGATGTATTTGCTGTACTTCTTACGTATCCAAGTATATATAAAACATGCATTTCCTATGTATAGATAGACCTATATGGATATATTTCCTATTTATAGATATATATATAGATATGTATTTTATGTACATGTATATGTGTCTCTATATGAAGTACAGCCAGCCCTCACCTCCCTGTCTGTTCTCTTGTCCCACCTGGATTTTGCACCTGTAACTGATTTCTTGCACCTCTTGACAGTCAAGTTGTGTTAAGTGGGTTGTACTGAGGGAGGGTGTGGGAGGACAGGGAACAGAGGGCAGAGCTGCTGCTCTGTGATGTTTTCGTGCTTCAGAGTTGCAGCTTCTGGGGATGCTTCTTATCAGTAATTTCATGGGGAATGGGATAACTAGTAATTGCTTCTAGTGGCTTTTGGAGCATAGGAATGGCTGGGAAACCTCTGGTGCTAATTACTTGTATTAATCTTGGTGGTTTTAGAAGTTTGATAATAGTTTTAAAATGAAACTAGTTCAAATTTGGTTATTTAAATATATAGTAACATGAAAACCAGCCTAGATGTGAAGAATCAAGCAATGCCTCTCTGTGTGGATGGGAAAGCCTAAGTAAAGGCTGCTGTTCCTGCATCCTTGGGACTGATTTATTTCATGTCTCCAGGCAGTACTTAGAGCTTTCATGAGACACTCAGAGAAGCAATTGGTTGATGCTTAATGTTACTTTAAATGGGTTTTCTCCATCTCAAGGATATCTGCCAACAGTAGCTGATCCTTTACAATTATATTCCCTTACAGCTCAGATTCTCTGAAGTTTTATTCATCAAACCAAACTTCAGTTTCTCATAGAATCAACCTATTAGACATTACATTTTCTGTGTTGGTTAGGTAAAAGTTTTTTTGCGTTTTCACAGTTGATTTGACTCCACCTTGGGCACACTGAACTGTGTTCTGAACTAAGGAAGCCTGAGATTCAGGAATGGATGCAACAGGGTTGGAAAACAGTTTGTGGAATCAGTTAATTTGGCAATTTCTAGTATGAAAAGTTGCTGAAACGCAGCATTTATATGCAGAGCATTAAGAAGTTGTAATTCTTTTGCTTTCAGAGTGATGTAGAGATCTGTTTGGTTGGTGGCAGTTGCAAGAGTCCCATTGGAAGATTTTGGAATGGAAGCAATACAATCTTTATTTTGCAGAAAGCAGTGAGTGTTAGCTGTTAATTTTTTAGATGTATTCCAGACTTTTGAATTCCCATCCAACATTTTCACACACTTTGCACTTCCTGACTCACCTACACCTTTTTCTTACAGGCACACCATGAAGAAAGTGTCTCAGTGGATGAATCCAAAGCAGATGATGCTGTTTATGCCCCTGAGCTTTTGCCAAGGGAGAGTTCTGGACCAGTGGCTCTTTCTGTTGGAAGAGCAAAGTGAGTGTCTAAGGTTTCCCTCCCCTTTTCATGTAGTTTTGCAGCTTTTCTCTCTTCCTAATACTCAGAACCTGTATTATTTTCAATCCCAAACAATTAAATTGCTCATTAGTTTGTGAGATAGGACGACATTTTGTCTTGCAAAATGCTTCCCTGGCTGAAAGTTCCTAACCAAGTAGCTAAAGTCAAGGTAGTGGAAAAGCACTTGTGAGTTGTTCCATGTGGATAATGGCATTGACTGCATGTAGATGCCAAGGAAAGATTACTAGGACTTCAGTGCTTGTTTCTGTAAGATAAAATTCAAGATCTGTTACTAAAATACCAACATGGTACCCAAACATGCTTTGCTTAACTAATCTGTTAACATACTTTAAATGTAACATTCAGTTATGATTTTAGAATCTTCAGTCTAAATTAGAAGACTATATTGATTATGTATTATAAAGGATAGATTTGGCTATATTTGCTGACATCTTTTCTCCTGTTCCCATTTCTAGGCAGTTGCTGTCCTTATACACAATGGTGCAAAATCCAAACATGACCCACTGGGCAGTAAGTGACCCAGTTGTGCTTCCTCCCCTCTGGATCAGGTGTGATGGCTCAGATCCTGAACACACCTTCTGGGTTGGAGCTGAGCCTCTCAAAGCTGGGAACAAAATCACAGGGGTCAGTTTGCACATTGTGTCCTGTGATGGTAAGATTATGTTCCATATAAAATGCGATGTGGGAATACTGATGCCTGTGTCCTTTGGGTGATGCTGGCTTGGGAGTGCTTTATATCCCTGGTTTTGAAAAACGAGGGGATAAAAAAAACAGAGAGAAAAGATGATTTTAACCTAAATTGTGTGTGGGAAATATCTTTTTATATACTTAATGCACCAATATCTGTGCAGCCTCCCTGCACTCCGGGGCAGTAACAGCACATTCAAACTGCTGCCATTCAGCTCCTTACACAAGGAGCTCCTTACACACTAAACACTGATAGGTTCACGTTATTCATAGGGCAAGTGCAAGGAGAATCTCTTTTCTAAAGGATAAAATGATCTCAGGGCTTTGTTCTTCATTGAGTTTGCTTGGGATTTACATATAGTGGTAAACTTAGCTCAGACATGTGTTTACTCATTGGCATTTTAGAGGATCAGTGAGCAACTGGACCTGGTTAATGGTTGGAATTGATGATCTTAGAGGTCTTTTCCAACCTTAATGGTTCCATAAAATGAATTGTACTTGACCAAATGGAGTGTTTGAGAAGGAATTTTAAGGCCAAATTTGAATTGTGTCCAATGTTCTTTCTCACTTTTTTCCTTTCCTAGGTCCCACAGCTGATAAAACCTGTTTTCCAAACCTGGAAGAGCTCAAAATGGCACATAAAATAAGACATCATTCATCTGTTGTAGGTTTTTACTGTCATGTCTTCAATTTAAGTTTAAAAACTTGGATTTATGATAGTGGTTTGGGGAAGCTTTATAGATTCTGTATAGAAACTTACCTCAGGATGATTCTATGGTGCAATAGTCTGTCTTGAGGTAATGTTTGTAGTGCATTTGACTGACACTAACCCTTTCTGTGTGTTTGTGAAAGGCTTTTAGAACGATTTTACCAATGTTGTGATGGTTTTGTTTGTTTTATCTTTTCAATCTGCTCATCCTAGGTGACAACTAAAGGCTTTGCTCAGTATGAACTGATTCGAGCTGCTCCCATAGAGGACACCATTGCAGGATCTGAAAGCAGCATCTATGTGGATATCACCTGGAACAGTGTTGATAAGATTCTGGAGTGTCCCCCACTGATTTCAGCTGCAACACTGGTAAGTCAGGAAGGGAAAAGCAAACGAACCCAAACTCTCACCACAGCTTTCATCCTGTAAGTGTAAAAAGGAGAGAAAATCAGTTTGACTCTTGCCATTTGTATTGTTTACTATTTCTGTAAGCAGCAGAGAGTGTCCATAGTTAAACGCTAAGTTATGCTAACATGCATTTCACTAATGAAAATTTTAGGCCACTTGATTTCTGATACAAACTTCTGAAACTTTCAGAACATTGCCCTGGAGCCTGGCGACCCCAGAAGTCCTGTGTACCCGCTGTACAGGGAGCTGCAGTTTCTCCTTGTAAGTGCCACTGAGAGTTTCCAATTTCATATTTACATAAAATAGTGATTTTATGTATCAATAATTCAGTTTATTTAAAGCTTCATCAAGTGTTTCAAAGATAACTTTAAGCTTTTACTTTAAAATAAACTTTGGGCTCAGTTTTAGGATTCTTGAGTACAAAGAGGACAACTCATCGAGGGAATTCTGGAAGTGTCTAAATTGCTGGTTGTCTGTGCAGAGATTTGTGATTCTTGGAGAAGTTCCCTGCACTTTGAAGTATGACACATGTAGAACCTCCAACAAGAACTGATTTGTTTTGGGTTTTGTGCTGCCTTTAGGCTTTGGCTGAAGGATTGAGGACAGGTGTGACTGAGTGGCCTGAGCCTTTAGAGTCTGAATCAGCTGTTGAACTGGTCCAGGAATTTCTGACTGGTAATTGCTGCTTGTTCCTTGGGGACAGAGGGATTTCACATTTCCCAAAAATAAAAGGAAATTCCATATACAATCTTGAAAGTATTTGAACTAGAGATGTTCATTTCTGTGCTGTAACCACCTGCACGGAGTAGTTCAATAGGTTAGTACATCTCTATCATTTCAGTATCTTTTCTACTTGATATCTTGTATAAAAGTGCAATAAAAATAATAACAATTTATTTATTATTTACATATTTAGACCACATCCTTACCTAATCAAACCATTTTTAAAATGGATAAATGTTGTCTATCAATTTATTTGTTATGATGTTCCTGGGGATTTATACAATTGGTTTGATGGTATTTCTTTTTGATCGTGGTGAAATCTAATTTTTCTCTTGTACTAGATTTAAAGAAGAACCAGGATGGGGGTTTTAGAGCTGCAAACAAGAACAAAACAGAGGTATGTGCCATCTCCTAACAGTAGCTTTGTCATCTTCCTTCTCTTATAACTAGTTAGTTCAGAGTTTGACTGTCTTGTGTATTATTTATACATGTAAACACAAAGAAGGATGAGCAAGATGAATCACTTGCTTTGTTTCTGCTGTGTAAACATAGTGGGAAAAGGTCTATAGTTAGTGATTCGGGGACAGTTTCATGGTATCAGCTGAACATCTGTCCCATTTATCCAGAGGTTTATAATAGTCTAAAGCAATGTGCAGATTCACATTAAATGCCTTCAGTTATATCAAGATTTTTTTCCCTTTCAGTCTACAAGGAAAGGTTTGGATCCTTTTTCTATCAAGAGAAAAGTATCATTTTGTTGATAAGCTAAAAATATATTGATTTCCAAATCAGCTAAACCAGAAATATTCCAGGTCAGGATACCAGGAAAGTAGTTCTGTGTGCCAAGAAGTTGTATAGATGGATTTTGGCCTCCCAGGGCACTGCTAGATATGCAGACAATACCTGGCTGTGATCAAAAGTCTCTCTGATAGAAGACTTCACCTCCTGGTCCAAGGCTAGTAGTTACCCAGTGTGATAATTCTGGAAAGAACTAGATTCACTTTTAACTAAAAATATGCTTCCAAATTACTCTGAGGTGGTAGTTTCCCTGGAAAAGAGGGAAAATTAGTGGTGCATCCAGCTCTGATCTCTGGATAAATTCAGGTACATAAGGGTTTGGAGTCTCAGGCACCTTTTTCACTGAAAACCATCAAACTCTTTCAGAAAATCAAGTGTGACACAGCTGCAGTGGACAGCTCCATAAAATGTATCTTCAGTGAACGAGGAGACCTGGATTTTGCTGAGCAGTTATGGTGCAAAATGAGAAGTAAGTGCACTGTGGGATTTTGCCTCACCTGTTTTCCTTTAATTCTTCTGTATCTCCTATACTGTGTTGCTTTCTCAGGGAAATTTATATTGATGTCTCTGAGTTTTAAGAACTGATCAGCTCTGCAGAAAATAGTTAGCAACAGCCTGAAAGCTAATTTTAGGTGTGTGAGATGATACACTTTTCTACAACATGTAAAGGCAAACCAACACCTAGCAGGAGATACTAGATTTCATTTTATTTGCCTGCAAAGGGGAATAAATGGTTGGGACTACACTTCTGCTCTACAACTGAAAACTTAAGAGATTACTTTCTTGCAAGATCTGAAGGACAGATTTCAATGTATAGGGACAGAACGATGCCAAAATCTGTGTATGACAATCTGCTGCTGCCATGTGCTGTCTCTAACAGTCAGGTACACTTTGGTGCTCTCTGGTCATTGTTTGTTTAGAATAATCTTAAAGTCATGATATGACAAACTTCCCACAAAGCGTGCAATCTGTCATTTCAGCCCTCATGCTTTAATTGGGTGGTTTGTCCTTGTGTGTTGGCCTGTTGTTATTGCCTTAAAAGCCAGAGAAAGCCTGGATTGATAAATGATACATCTTTTTTTTTTTTTCTTGAGGTGTCAGTTCCTATCAGGAGTTGGTAGAGTGTTTCACACTGGTTCTAAAATCCCTGGAACATGGGGAGATACAGCCATGGGTATGTATTTGTATTTCACACTAACTGCTCCAGTTTTGCAGTAGAATATAGTCCTTGTCACTTCACTTCCCCTCATTTGTGCTGGGTTGTTTTCAAACTACTTTCCCATGTCAGTTTGTTTCCCTGGTGTGGTACTTCTAATCAAAGTTGTGTGTTGTACAGTTAACAGTTCACAAGAAAACTCTTTTCATTTTTAGATTCACCACGGGAGTAGCAGTTTCTTAAGTAAATTGATCCAACAGTCCTACCATGGAAAGATGGAGGTTATTTCCCTCAGTGGTGTCACTCCCATCCAAATGCTCTTGGAGATTGGTTTGGATAAGATGAAGAAGGATTATGTCAATTTTTTCATAGGTAAGTTTATACCTGTTAACATGAGTAGAAATTCAAGAGAAAAGGTGATCCATGCAGGAAATAATGAGGTTTTTTGTAACCTCAGACTCTCTTCTGTTCCCATCAGATTTACGTAACTGTAGACTGTTCTTTTTCCTACCTGTTTGTTGGAGGTGAAAAACTAAGACCTTCATGCTCTTTCTTTGTGGTCTGTGTGGTTTAAAGGAATCAGCCCAGGGAATTTTGTATGCTATAGCTGTGTTTGTGCAGTCTGTACTGCCTAGAAAGATAGTTTTTATTATTCTTATGTATGTTATACTGGAAGCAAAAGTCAAAGTGAACAGGTTTGTACATTTTTATTGAAAACATTGTGGCTTTGGTTTTGGTATTATAGCTTTGTTTTTTTCGGAATCTTTGGAAAGGTTTCTGTTTATCAGTGTTGTTACCTCCTTTCTTTTCCTTCATCTCTTCATTTCTTTCTGTTCTGTCATCCTGGTTTCATTCTGTATTTTATTTTCACTTCTTGCAAACCTGTAAGTCCCACAAATGTTGGTTGTCTCACAGTGTGTGGGAGGTTTTGTCACTGGGGTGGGTAAAACCATGTCTCTGCCATGCCACCTCACAGGTTTCTTCTTGTTTTACATGAATGATCGTGTCAATAAATAACATCACAGTCCTGGCCACTTTGTGCTTTTTTTGGTAGGTTCCCTGTTGATTACCAGAATGTTACTTACATTTCATCTGATCCTATATATTGAATATAATTTTCTTTTTATTCCTGTTCATTTTCCAGGCCAGGAACTTGCAACATTAACCTACTTGGTGAGATGCTTTATTTCCATTTGTTTTAACCTGAAAGCAGTATAAGTAGAGCATGTTGAGCTAAGGGTGGGATACGAGTCATGTCATACCTATAAGCTTAGAAACTGAACTTCAGATCATGAGGATGGAACAGAAATGTCCTTGCTTTGTTTCCTTATTCCTATATAATTCCCTAGGGATCTCATCCAGTTACAGTCAGGGCAGTGAACCATTGTTCAGGCTTTGATGGAACTTTGGTCTGAGTCTGTTGGGCCAAAACTTCAGCTTCTCAGAAGAAGCAGAAAGATGATTTTAGGATGTGTTGTTTATCTGTAGTAATTGAGTGCTCAGGTAAGAGCAGAAGTTCTTTTCTGTTCCAGGGTTGCTTTATTTCCACATCAGTAGATCTACAAGAACAAGTTCATCATGTTCAAAAGCTTCACCATATGCTGGAGATAATGGTCAGCTGTACAGTCTTACTGCAGTTTAAACATGAGAACCTCTTCCCTCTGACACAGTAATGATCTCATTTTTGCTTCTTGCTCTTTAAATGCAAATAAATAGATTTTCTCTGATAGTTGTAAAGAAACACTGAGAACTTCTTCTTAAGTTTTGCTTTGTGACTAAAATTGCAAATCAAAGGAAATGATAAAATCTGAGAGTACAGTTCATTTGACACAAGGTTTATGCTGTGTTGCACAAGCATTTCTGCAAAGAAAGTAACTACTTGCTATCTCTCACAGGATTTGCATGAAGTATTACAAGGAAAACCCTCTCAATGAGAAGCATGTGTTCCAGCTGCCCATCAGACCTGCTCAGGTCCAGAAATTCTATCAAAAGTAAGAGAAGCTTCAGTGTTTCAGCACTAAAATTCAGATGTGACTCAACACCTGACTGAATTTTGATGTGTTCTGGTTGTTCTCCCAGTGATCACCCTGAAATATGGAAAGTGGAGATAAGTAGCGGCCATGGACCAAAGGAGGTTAAAACAACCTGGCAAGTTAGTACTAATGCTCCAGTTGAACACATGACATCAGATAATTCAGGTGAGGAATGGTTGTGGTGAAATGAAATAATGAAAGGACACTTCAAACAAATTCAGCTTTGTACTAAGTTCAGTAGGCCTGAACTTTTTTGTACTTCTGTTTCCATTTCATCAAAGCAAACTGATGTTTTGCCTTTTAATAAAAGCGTGAGGTGGCACTTAGAGAATGCAAGATTTTCACAGAGCCTTCTCACCAGTTGTGTTTTAGAGTTAAAATGATAGAGTGGTTCCAAACGTGATCTGATTGAGTGTTAGCCACAAAGTCTTTCTAAATTCTTTGCCAGTGTATCTGCAAATGGGTTCAAAGAGACATATGCTGCTATGAGTGCTGATCTCTAGCCAGATGAGCAAGCAGGTGCTAAGGAGAGGACATGCCTTGCTCCAATTCAATGTAGAAATAGCAGGAAAATGGGGAAGAATTAAATGTAAGACTTGCATAGAAATAATGTGCTTCTTGGGAGGGTGATGATTTGGTAAAACTTCCCTGTCATTATCCATGATCTTAAAGGTCACTTCCAACCCTGATGATTCTATGAATTTTTGTCATGAAGTGCTTCAGTAAAACTGAACTTTTGAAGAGTTCCCTAAGTGCTAGGTGAACTGATCTCTACCAGAGACAAGCGACTAATCACAACGTTCTCCTTTGTCCCTGCAGCTGTGTTTTGTGACTCCGCAGTGACTGGAAGCACCGAAGAAAGACTCTATTTTATTACAGTGACACAGTGTAGTCAGGTGCATTTCACATAAGTGTGTGTTGCTCTGCAGGCAGGACTGGAAAGGTGCAGTAAAGGGCAAGTTCTGTTTTCTGTGTCCCAGAAACGCTCTGTGGTTTGCAGAGCAGCACATCTCACTGAGGGATTGGCTTTCATGTGCTTAAGTGGGACCTACAGAGCCACAACTCCTCTGTAGGCACCTCCTTTGTTTGTCAAATTGTGCAATTCTGACTGTACAGTATAAATAGTTTGCATATATAGCATTTTTGTTCATATATCTACACACAGTCAATAAAGTTGTGCACTTTGGGCTCTTAGATTTGATTTTTATTCATTAAGAAAGCAACCAGACACTGCTCAAAGAGGGAATTATCTTAACCAACAAGCCAAGCAATATTGTCATGTTTTTCTGGTATCAAGTGATGCTTCATCATCCTCATATATGTGGGAAGCTCTTCATCCAGGGGCTCAGGGTCTTCTGACAGTTTGGTTTTCATTGTCCCTGTGTTTATACTGTGGAGAATTCTTGGATATATTTCTCTCTTCAAGTTATGTGTTTCCCTTCAATGTGAAGTGAGTTATTTTAACAGTGTTGTCTTATATGGTTTGCATCATTTATTGACAAAAAAATCAGTGCAATGGGCTTGGCATAATCATTTCCATATGTTGTGGTGGCAGTTGCTCTGTTGATTAGATGGTGTGGGTAAGACTCTGGTAGTGTCATTCTAACCAGCTTCATAGTGTACTATGTGCTGATTAAATAATTTGAGCTAAAAGCATTTTATGTACAGAAACTTTACTATTTCTAAGTCAGAATAAGGAAAGCCCCAATATTCCTGCTTTGAAAAACTAGACATTCCTAGCATTTCTGGTTTCTCCTCAATAAATCGTATTTTTTATCCATCTCTTGGTATTACAGAATAATAACTTTGAAGAGGAGCTAAGGACAAGGTCGTGCACTGGCTTTATGTACTACTTGTCTGCATTCAGCAGATGCACATGCAAATGTGTGCGTGGAAATAGAGTGAAAACTAATCAGGAAATTGTTTGTTGCTTTGTGTTTGTTGCTTTGCTTTAGAGAAATCTATTCAAGCACAGCAGCACAGTTTAACCAGATCCCCAGATTCTGGAACTGATTTTTTTTATAGTACTTGTTCCTATCTGCCCTAGAAGTGAATTTGAGTGGGATATTACATTCTGGAAGTGTTTGGATTGCTTATAATACACCTTTCTGTGTATAATATGTTACCAAGCCATAAGAGGTGAATTAGTTCCCTGTAAACATCATGAGAGAGGTAAGTGCTTGGTTTAAATCTGATTGAGCAGTTGTCATCTTCCATTAATCACTTCAAACAACTCTTCTGCACACCTAAAGAGTAAGGTGTATATTGCCCTAACTTTTAGACATGAGTAAGTTAAGTTCAAGCAAAGCTCTTGGAATATTTAAGTCCTTTTCTCTTTTAAAATGACATGTCTGTCTCTCTTCAATTAGCAATTACATGGTAATTAAAAGTCTGTTGATGAACAGGCTGAAATCAGAATTTTCCAGCAGCTTTTAATCACTTGGAATTTGTGCTATCAAGATTTGAATCACTTTAATCTTCACGATTTTTATCTTAACTTTTAACTGTTTTTTTTCTGGCGAGCAAAATCTCTTAGTAGTTCCCAAAATAAAAACTACTGTAAAATCTGTTGCTTAAAATTAATAGAAAGTAATGTGATAAGAGATATTCTTTGTGTTTTGATTTAAAAAATGATGGTTTGGGCATTGAATAGAAAAACTCTGAGATCTAGGTGGACAGGCAAAGAATTCTTTACAGGGTGTAGGTGGTAAGCTTTAACCACTCCAATAAAGCAGTTCTGTCCTATGGAAAATGAATAGGTGTGTGGATATGCTGGTTTAGCTGTGATTTCGAATGTAGAGGATCAGTAGGACAATACTGATGAGTATGCAGAGTGTGAAAACTGCAGGAAGAACAATCTCTGTCACCATTTCCATGTGAGTAATCAGGGAATCTAAAATTTGAGAAATGAGTAATATGTAAGAAGTTTAATCCTCCAGAGCACACTGAGAGTTCACACAGATTACAGGTTTTTTGAACACTGGCGTAAACAGCAAAGAAAAACAAAATTCCTTAAGTCTGCAAGAGCTGGAGCAAATCCAGGTCAATGTTCTCTCTCTTTTTCCTTTCTAAGGTACATTTCTGAAGACATGTCAGTGCTCAAAGAGCTGCAAAAATTGTGCTCCTATGAATTAGCTTCAGTGCATTAGCCACATTCCCACTGTTCCTTTGAGATTTATTCCTCCACTCCAAGGGGAAAGGGTGGAAAATTGTCCAAGATATTCCTTTGGAAGTACTAGAGCCTTTTAATGTTCTGTAGCTGTTTGGAAAATTAAATGGGGTTTATTTTGTAGAACTTTATTCACTCATAAGAGTTCAATACACCCAGTTAATTCACATGGAATATGTGACTCAGCAGTTGGGACTGAGCAGGAGAAACTTGGGATGAACTGCTGGTGTTCTCCAGCAGCTCTTGTGAGCTGTGAGGTGTTTGCTTTGTTGTCAATGAGCCCAAATGTGGCTCAACCTTAGACCAATCCTTTTAGTGAATTTTTTCTAGTTCCACTTTATCTCAAACATTTAGAGACTTTCTGTCTGTTTAGTTGTTTCAGTTTGTCTGAGTTTGGTTTGTGTTTGCAAAAGCATTTAACACTTTTCTTCAGGAGAATTCTGTTATCCCTAGCCTTAACTCTAGATAGTAACTTTGTTTGTCTGTTCCACTCACATCCAAAGTTGCCCCTTTAATCTGATTTTAGTTGGAGAGAGTAAATAAAGACGTTTTTCTTGTGCTTTCAGGGAGAAAATACCTTTTAGCACCTTCTGATAGCAATATCCACGGAGAACTTTAAAATCAGGAAGCTACAGAACATGCTTTTCTAAAACAAACCAGAAGACACACAATTACCTGCAGCAAGGTGTTGGTGTGTGGTGGAACAACTGTCCATAGCCTTCTGGTGCCAGTTCTCCACCTGAGAAGGTTGACAGTAGTTCTGTTAGACTGTGAGACTTTACATCATTCAGAGCTCCTTCTCTGTCCCTGAACACTTGTCCACTGCAACTCACCTGAAACTATTTCATTCTATCAACACATAGTTTCAATGTGCCTTTGTGGGTTATATTGCAATCTATTTCTCCTAGCTAATTGTTGAATAGAATGTTTAAAAGCACATAATATATTCCTTGTTATTTTTCCAATAAGGCAGTACATGTGTGTGATGTTCTGCCTGGAAATCTCGTTAGCACTGCTGACTTCTGATTCAGAATTGCATCAGTAAGTCAGATCAGAGTTTGTAGCTGAAGTTAGTAAGTCAGATCAGAGTTTGTAGCTGAGGCTGTACCCACACAGCCTCAATCACAGTGTGTATCAAACACATCCCTGCTTTACAGATCCAAAGTGTCACTTCAGGAGCTGTATTCATGCAACTTGTCTCCTGAAATTCAGTGTGCTATTTGCCCATATATTGAAAAAAAAAGGGATGAAATGAACAATTGCCATCACCTCTCTTGGATTTGGGAATCCATTTGCACTGATAATCTTCTTATAATAGTCCACAGAAGCCTTTGGGTATCGTGGCTTGTTCTTGTTCTTAAAGTCAATGTGGTAGAGCCCAAATCTCTCAGAGAAGCCTTTGTTCCATTCAAACTTATCCAGCAGTGACCAGGCAGTGTAACCCTTGACATTAACTCCATCATTTAGAGCTGGAAACAGCAAAATTATTCTGTTAAACATGTTGCCTGTGTTGTCCTTAAAATATGGTTCTGTAGGTGCTTTGGTTTATCCCAGAAAGAGATGGAGAGGACAGAAAAATGGCAAAGTATAAAGTGATTTAGATACTTTGAAAATGTTATCTTCAGCTTAGAGGTACCAGAGCTCTGTGAACAGGGAGGTACAATTGTTCCTTTCTGAAAGTGGAGACTGATGATCTATTGTAGTACTAAATCTCGTGTAGGTTATTCTATCTATTAGGTTGTCATTTTGGTTCAAATTCATTCGTCTATTTTGCTGACGCACGAATATTGATTTCTCTATGATGTAAGTGACAAGCAGAAATAATCAGAAGGTGAAAACACTCAACAAGTCAAACACTAAGATGCTGGTTTTAAGTTACCTTTCAGTATTTCATTAATATATCCCTTCAGGTACTGGATCCTCCACTCATCACACAGCTGAGTGCACTGAAGGGTTTCAGAGACTCCGTTTTCCGTGACGTAAATGAGAGGGTTCCCATACTGGGTCTGCAAACAGAGGGCTGTTTACACTGGGTCCCATCATATTATTTGACAGAAGATGAGACTTAGTAAAATGTCTTAAAAGCAATTTTTTTGATTTAGTTAGTTCCCTTTAGTAAGAAAATTGCGTAACTAGGAGTTTAAGTTAGCTCTGGGCTATGTTTTAAAAATGACTGAATTCTGTAGTTTTCTGAACTGAAATTAAAGGGTTTTTTTGGCATAGAAACTTCCCAGTGTGGCAGGAAAAATACAGAGGTGAAACTGTTGAAGATATAAATGAGTTTAAGTACATCTGCAGCTTCTGTATGTCGCCAGGCACTTTGTTTGACCCTTTTTAATTACAGATCTCTACTCACCTTAATAAAGTTGAGTAATCTCCTGAACCCCCAGGGCACAGAGTAGAGCCATTTAGGTCCTGGAGCTGACCAGTTTGGGTCCACCAGTTCAGCCAAATCCCTGTCAGTGTGGTAACTGGACACTTGCAGGAAGGGAAAGTTCTTCTGTAGGACATAGCGAGTAGTGAAGTGCCCAATTCCCAGGAAATCAGAGGTGCCTTTAATGTAGGTTTTCTCTTGCACTGAGAAAGTTGGTAATCGTGATGTCCCCAGGCCCTGCTGCGCACTCTTCCTGCCTAGCAAAGGAGTTACAGCAAACTGGGTAGCACAGAAATTAATTTGCTTTACCTCACTAGCAATAAATCATAGGATCATGGAATGGTTTGGGTTGGAAGGGACCTTAAAGCTCATCTCATCCCACCCTTTGCCATGGGCAGGGACACCTCCCACCAGCCCAGGGTGCTCCAAGCCACATCTAACCGGTCCTGGAATACTTCCAGGGATGGGGCAGTGACAGCTGCTCTGGGCACCCTGTGCCAGTGCCAAACAGGGTTTTCTTGAACTTAGTGTTAGTGCAGAGGACACTTGAGTTCGTTTCTTCAAGGCGAAATCTCTTTCATCCTTTTGGGTTGAAGAAAGCTGGGTAGGGTACATATAGAAGACAGTGAAGTGTTTAGTATGTCCCCAGACTGCTCAGCAGCTGTGTCACCTGTGTCCTCATCCTTGACTAAAGCACACCTTGTCCATCCAGGACCTATTCCCTTGTCATGTGATGGAAGTGTTGGATTTATTCATGTTCTAGTGAGTTCCTGGCACTTACCTACATAATTCTTCATAACTTCTGGGTAGTCTCCTCTGTAAATGGGATTTGCAAACCATCCCAAATGGAACTGGATGTATCTCTCGGCAGCATCTCTGTCTGTCTGGCTGTGTGGATCCACAGGTTCACCCCAGCCACTTGTTAGGGAGATTCCAACCATCCCTTAAAAGCAAAGTGACAATTCTGCAGTTTGTGCATCTTTAAGCCCTTGATACCCAGAGAAGGAAAACGGAGAAGGATTCCTGATTACCTTGCTGCTCCCTGCGCCACGTGTTGTTGTAGGAGTGCCAAACCTTTGCATGAGTCTGTGAGTTAAAGATACAACAAATCCTATGAACATTTTAGTCTGTTATTCCATTGCCAATATGGAAAGTTGGAGAAGATCAAGAGCAGTTTTTGCACTAAGATCTGTCTGAAAATCTCACAGAATTATTTATGTGTATCACAGAAGTTTTCACTTCATGCAACATGTCAAAAAAAGCATTTAGGCAAGATTTCTTCCCTAATTCCGTGAGATCCTCATGGAAGCAACACTCAGCATTCAGTAGTGTTCTTTCCAGTGTCTCCAGTCTTTGAATGTCTTTGCCTGATGTATTAAGGCAGATGAAGGTTAATTTTGGCAAGCTGAAGACACTTGGAAAACTTAAGTTGATTACAACAGGTCAGGATGTTACTCTTGTTTCTGGAGCAACCTGGATATTTGCTTATTCAGCCAGTTTGAATCACACTATAAAGAGACACTTAAATTGTAAGGAAAATTCCTCTTGCAACAGGGTCACATGAAGGACCTACAATTTCAGGCCACACTGGGTCAGCACTGGTGCTTTAAAGCCAGGTGGTAATTCCCATGTCTCAGCTGGAAATGACATTGTTGTGAAAGTATATTTCTGTTCAAAGAGTAAAATCTGCTAAAAATTCTTAATTTAAACTAATCCAAAGCATGATTTCAGTTTTACTTTAATGATGTGGTGAGCAGCTTTGTAAGCTCCACAGCCACCAAGCTTCAGTCCTGGGGCATGTTCTCCTGTTTCATAGCCGTTTTCAGCAACTGCCTGCAAATACAGAGGGTTAGTCATTCTCTGAGCAGGAAATGTGCTCACAGCTTCCCCCTCAGAGCTAGGGAACGTGCTGCCATCCTGTGGACCTGGATCCTGTGCTCTCCTGCATGGGCTCCGTCGCTCCAGCCCCTTTCCCTTCCCCTTGGCTCCCATCTCCCACCTCACTGCTTGGTTGGTGCTGTGACTTGTTGGGAACAAGGCATGACTAGTCTTGGTGAACTGACCAGATGGAATGCAGGAAGGGTAAATAACAGCTTCCTCTGTGATTCCTGTGCCTTTCTCCTCTCCAGCTGATGATTTTCCAAAATTTCCCTGGAATTTCATGTCTTAAAACTGCCCTTGTGCACAGTTTGACCAGTAAGATATTTGGCCACAAAGATTAACGCTGTAAGTCTTTCCTTTCCCTCTACCTCTCCAATTTTTTAACCTACTTTCCTCTAATGTCACTTCCAAGGAATTCTGGGAGCAGAACTATGCAATGGGAGTGACTGGAAGGAAAACACTGCTAACTCACCCAAGGATTGCTGAAGGTTATCCAATGTTTCACACGATCTCCAAATTTCTCAAAACACAGATTTGCATAATCATTAAAATAATTTATCATGCTTATGTTTTGCCAGCCACCATACTTCTCCTGGAGAACCTTGGGAGAGAAGAATTTCAGGAATCACTCACTGTACTTACAGTTCAGCTGCTGTTAACAAAGACTTTGATTTCTATTTCAGTAGCTCAGAAGGACATTTTTCAAAACTTCAATGGACAGAAAATGCAAATGGATAGGAAATAGTTACAAGTACTTAAAATCATGCAGATATCTTTAGTTTTCTAATATACTCTTAGTTCTTAAGCTTAGGAAATGTATTCCTGCCAGAAGCTTTTATATTTGCTGTTTCACTGATTTGATATTGTCTGACCTGTGGAAGGTCCCAGTGGTAGAGGCTCACAATGGGGGTAATATTGTTTTCCAAAAGACTATTGATTGTGTCGTTGTAGAACTGTATTCCCTTCTCATTCAGTTGCTCAGCTGTGAAAAGCACAAAGGAATTAGCTGGGTTGGTTCTCAAATAAGTGGAAGAGCAGAAATCTAAACATGTTAGCCAAGGAATTCAACATCACAGAGATGGGAAATACTGTAATGGGCAAACTGCTCTGCAGACAGACTGGAATCTATTGAACAGCAATGTTATACAACTGTGGGTTAAAAGTGAAGTTAATTACTGATAAAAATGCTGGGAAGGATGAGGGGAAAGTGTTGTGCTTACTTTTGATGCCTGTGGGCATAATCCTTGGCCAGGAGATAGACAAGAGATAGTGATTCACTTTCAGCTCCTTCAGCAACTGAATGTCATCCTGAGGAGAGAGAACTCAATTAACACACCTGTAGGCTGAGCAGAATAACCTCAGTTACACATCTGTCTTAAATAACACTGAATGCACAACATCTATAGGAGAGTTGCCCAAAAGAGGATTCCAGCAGTGATTTTCTGCATTTGCTATGAGATAATTCATCTTTCTGCTTGTGCACTTCCTTTTTAACCCTTTTTTTTTTTTTTTTGACTATCCAAAGAAGTCCTATAATGTTTTGTGGCAGCTATAAACACTGAATCTTTCCATTAGAAGAGCAAAATGAGTTGAGGTATTCTGCAACACAATTGTCAGAATTTGTAGTGAGCATGTTGTAGGATGTAACAGAAGTCTTTAAGTCTTGACCTCAGCTGTTTCAGCTGTGGCACAAAACCATGGTTACACAGGATTTGATTTACTGTCTCACACAGGAGTTAGCACAAAACCTAAATTCCATATAAACACATGTTCTTTTTCTAAGAAATCATGTATCTTTGTTAAATGAAATCAGCAATTGATGGGATTTGAGCCAATGCAAAGAGAATTGTGATGATGAAAGCAAATAAAGACTGTTTTGGTACGAAGACAACCATGGAGCTGGACACACACAGGCAGGTTTTAGGAAGTATTTCTAAACACGAGCCCAGAGTAGTGAGTGAATGTTGAAAAGCTATTAAAAATAGGTCCTGTGAGCATTCTGTCAATCCCCTCTGATGCCACAGCCCAGAGAGGCTGTGAGGCTCAGCCTCTCTGGGGGATTTTATTAAGCTTTTCTTTCAAACTTGTGCTTGAGAGCAGAATGAAACCTCTTCTGCATTTTCCCAGTTTAGGACAGTGAGGCCTAATGAGTTTCTCTTCTCTTAGTTTTTGCTGAGGCCTCTGGTTCTCCCTTGGTCTTCATATTATAGAATTCATAGAATCACAGAATTTAGGGGTTGGAATGGAGCTTAGAGATCACCCAACCCTAACCTCTGCCCTGGGCAGGGACACCTCCCAGCAGAGCAGGTTGCTCAAGGCTTTAGCCAACCTGGCTGTGAACACTGCCAGGGCTGGGGCAGCCACAGCCTCCCTGGGCAACCTGGGACAGTGTCTCACCACCCTGAGAGCAAAAAACATTTTTCTCACATCCAACTTAGACTTTCCCTCCTTTAGTCTGAACTCAGAGGAGAAACCTCAGTGGAATCTAATTTTGATTAAATTAGTTGGAATTGCTGCTATGTAATAGTGGCTTATCACAGTCATTGGATTCTTCTTGCTGTGTATCTGCTTTTCCTCCAGGACAGTAAGTTGAAAATTGGTTGGGATAGCTTTAAGCTTGGAAGCATATTGTGAATAGATGTGAATGGATTATTTATTTGTGATCCATTCAAAAAATGGGAAACATTCAGACTGAATTTTAAGCCTCTTACAAATATATAGAAAGCCTCAAACACACACAAAAAAAAGACATTGATTTTATTGAAAGCTCAAATGTGGTCATTGTTCTAGCTAAACATTTGGACTTCCAACAACATCTGGACACAAAAATCCTGAAAACCAGAGATATATTTGGGGAATAATGTTGTATGACTGATTTTATGGGATTATTAGGAAAGAGGATTTTACTGGATTAATTTAAAATATCCCTTTGTTTCCTAAGTTAAAGAGCCTTTAAAGCATTTAAATGAGCCTTTAGACCAACTAAAGCATTTCATCTTTGCTGTTACTTCAAAAGGGAAATGAGGATCATGGAATGGCTCCAGAATATTTCCAGAGGTGAAGTTCCTCTTGAGCAATACCTTCACTTTGTAGTAGCCATCACAAGCTGAATCTCCTGTTTCATTCCTAAACACTTTCCCTTTCTTATGAGTGAAAGCATCCCAGATACTGGGTCCTTTCCCATCCTTGTCCCAGGCCCCTTCAGTCTGGTATGCAGAGCTTCCAACTCCCCACAGGAAACCTAAAGGTAACAACAAGTGAGTTATTGAAACATTTTGGGGCAAAACTGGTCTTGGTACTCAATTTTCATAGGCAAAAGTAACTGAAACTGAAAGGAAGTAGTGACAAGAGGCCAATTTACCAGTGCCTAAAAAGGGACTGTCTGAAAATGGGGAATAACTGAAAGACTCTTGTTCTGATGCACTGGAAAAGGAATCTCATTCTTTCATTTGTTAAACCTATAAAAACTCTGCTTTACAGAGATGAGGAAGTGCCTTGGTACATGGCAGAAATGTCTTACTGTAAACAAATCAGGTTTCCACATTATTTCTCCCTTACAGTTTTTATGGTGGTTTTAGCAACTAAAAGTTTAGCTGTTCTATATTTTAATATATAGAAATATTCTAGATTGTTCTGGCGTTATGCAAAATACAATATTAATCCATTTCATTATCCACTTAAAAACTTGGACAAATCAGTGCCAATACATTTCTAGTTTTGATTTTGGTTGAATGTACTGTGTGTGTAGACATATATGTTGAAGAAAGGTTCACAAAGCAATACTGAAGGTGGATTGGATAGTACTAAAAGCTTGAAACAAATCCAACACAGATATTTCACTTATTACTTGTTAGCTGCAGACCAAAGGATATTCGTAGTTTGTAATAATTCATTAGTTGTGGATAACTTAGGAGGAAGGAAGAGAGTTCTCAGATGTGATTTGTTATATTGTGCATGGAATTCAATCACAGGAAAGGAGGATTTGGGTATGAAATATTAATCTCTTAGCATTTGGTCAGATTTGACTGTTTTAAGTGACTGTATGGAGCATGGGGTTATGTGGATCCTGGCATTCCCAGGGCTAGTCTTGCATTCTGCAACAGTCTGATTTTCTGTTTCCATTTCCCTGCAAGGACAAGGAAAACCTTTTGGTACCTTTCTTGTGCCATCATACAAGTAGATTTAGAACATTATAAACCCCAAACCGAGTGCACATCAAAAATACCAGCTGGAAAAGTGCCATAATAGAAAGAGCCTGGATTGTTCTTTGTCCACTGGAACTCCTCTGCTGCACTCAGCCAAATGATGGGCACAAGAACAGAGCAGAATCTCAGCATGTCAGACTTCATCACTGCAAGGTGTTCTCTGCAGGGTCCCACCTGGGAAAAGGGAAGATTGTTGTCACGTGTTGGAATCACAGAACCATCGAGGTTGGAGGAGATCTCTAAGGTCATCAAGTCCAACCATTAATCTCCCACTGCTGGAGCCCCTAAACCCTAAACCAGTGTTGTTGCTCTACAAAGAGGCTTAGGGTGATCGAAAGGGAAAAGCTTATTTTTCCTGCTGGATGGGTCTGAGTGTCACTGAAGGCTAAAAGCAGTGCTTGGGTGAAGTGGAAGATGCAGTTAACTCCTGGCAGAGTGATGGAAATGAGGGAAGAAACAAGTACAAGATTATAACTATTAGAAGTTCCATGTGTTCCATGATGTTCCTTATCTTTATTCTAAAAGTCTCTTTGTTGGTACCTGTTTTGTTCTGGATTTCCAGCTGTCCTACTAGGAACTAAAACCTTGCAAACAGTGATTGTGAGAGGGAGTGAAAACCAGAAGAGATTATGCTGGTAGCATCTTGCCACTTAAATGTGTAATGGCAGCAAACCCTGTGGAAGTTGTAAAGAAAAATGAATACTTGTAATTGCTGCAGTTTTAATACTTGGAGTTTTATCTTGATGATGTCCCTTTTATCCAGTCACAGCACCAGTTCAGAATCACAGAATCCTGGAACTGGGTTGGAAAAGACCTTAAATCTCATCCAGTCCCACCCGCTGCCATGGGCAGGGACACCTTCCACCAGCCCAGGCTGCTCCAAGCCCCATCCAACCTGGTTTTGGACACTTGCAGGGATAAGGCAGCCACAGGTTCTCTGGACAAACCGTGCCAGTGCCTCAGTGCCCTCACACAGAAGTAAATTCTATAAATGTAAAATTTTGACTGCTAAATCAGGTTAAACTATTGGTGGAATGACCAATGTTAACCATTTTAAGTAAAGTTTCAGAAGAGCTTTGAGAACAGCGCTGTTTTCCCCATATTGATACCGTTCCCAAAGGATGTGTTTTATAGTCCTGAGCATCTGTTAGTGAATTTGGGTTAGAAAGTATCATATTCTTATACTATCTTATTAAATATATTTTTAAAAATAAACATGGTCTAATTAAAAACAATGCATTTTGCATTGGAGCCCCTGTGCTGCTGCAAGTTGGTTCCTGACCAAAATGCAAACGCAAGTTTGGCTAAATCCAAAAAGCAAAGAACATGTAATAAATGCACCACCTCAGAGACCTCTTGTTCCTCTGTGCTTGTTAAAGATCATTCCATGTATCCTAATGAACACAGGAACTGCACAGCTGGTTGGGAAAATGTAACTACTTCAGCATCAGAGGCTTTAGCCTTGGATTAAAAATCTCTCCACTTCTGCATTTTGAACTGGAACATTTAGACTGCAAAGGACAAAAAAGAGCAGGCTACAAACATGTAAAAAATCAGGTCTAAATACTCTAGAATGGTTTTAATTTCCAATAGAAAGGGTTACAAATGCATTGAGTTTAATTTAGACATTGCCATTTAAATGCAGCTCTTCAGCCCAGTCAGTACATTTCAATTTAGTGTTTCCCTTCATATTCTTGTTAGCAATGACCAACAGGGACATGAAAAGTCAAGAAATGTGTTCTGCAAGGTCTGTCAGAGCTTTCTGTAGTGAGGCATTACCCCATGGCAACAGGTCTGTAAGGTTTTACAGGGGTGTTGGTAATTCTCTTCCAAAGCTGTAGCTTTAATAACATTTTAGGGTGTTTGTTATGGTTTTTGATAATCTGAGTTGTGTTTTGGGTAACTCATTTGCAGCTGGGAAGAAGTTCAATCAAAATAACTTATTTCCTTTTTGGCCTGATAACTCCATTGGAAATAATTTCAGTTCATCAAGAATTGCTCAAGCACATGAAACATTGTTAAACAGACACAATTTTACAACACTCTGTATTGAACAAAATTGCCTTATTTCATGCACAGCTCGTTGTGGAATATTCTATCAATTACTTTCCAAATGGACACATGCTGGAACTCTTCACTGCTCCTTTTCTGGCAGGTGCCTTGACAAATCAGTAGAATAAACAGCTAATCAAATAATGCAAAAAGGTTTGATAAGTTCAGACTGTCAGGCTGGTCCTGTACAACCCTTTGACCCTCTTCTCTGGCAGCTCCAGTACCTTCTGCCCTGTTTACAGATGGAGTTAGTTTAATTCCCCCCATTCCTGGCTTACCTGGTGTTCTTCACATCAGATGTGTCCTAACTGGGAGATTCCTCTGGACTGCCAGAAACCTACCAGGGTATTCAGAATAAATTTCCTTTCCAGAAAAATTGCCTGGAATTAATCCAGCTGTCACAAAACCTCGGGAGAAACATCTAGTTGCAAACAGCATTTTGTTCACTTAGAGCCAAAACAAAAAAGAACAATCCTTTTGTATCCACAGTCAGTGCTGCAGGACAAGCTTTAGCTTAACCATAGGGATCTGTTAGCAATGAGGGATTTTCTCTTGTAAGCAAAATTAGCTCTGCAGTGATCTATACATTCATATATAATTGCAGTTGCTCTTGAACAGGGTGTTGTAGGCATTTGTGTCTTGGGGCAAATGTCTGTGTCCTCCTGGATGGTGTTTGGCAGGGAGAGCTCCTTGGCAGGTTTTGTGAGGCCAAGGGCTTTGTTTCTATGTGGCAGCATTTTGAATCAGATAGTCAGGATTTAGGCTTGAAAAATAATATGCTTTTCCTTTTCTCTTTTTTTTTTTTTTCTAGAGAAACTCCTTATGGTGGTGTCTTTATGGAAAAAAACCCCAAGTTTCCCAGTCTGGGGGTTCAGCTCAAGCTACAGCTGTTCACTTAGTTCTGAGAGTTACCATCCAGCCCCTCATAGATAGCCACACTGCAAAGGCTGTGAAATGAGCTAACCCACTGCTGGGCTGAAAACATGTGGCTTCAGACAGTGCTACTGCCAGGTATGCACAGCCTTTCTCTGCTGAGGGAGAAGGGGAAGAGCTTCCCAAGAGCAGCAGAGGAGGTAACTGCTGTTCCTCCTCCTCTTGTGGCCCGAGGCAGGGCAGAGGGAGGCTCTGGACAGCACTGATACAGCAAGGTGTGTGAACCTGTCACACACACACCCTGAGGGAAGGATCTGTGTACACAGGAAGTCTTCTAGGAGCACCAGGAGCAGCTCTGGCTCAGTTGGCTCTAGGTGGTTGGTGATTTTCTTCCGACTGCTGTGCACCCACAGAGCTGCTAGACACGTGGGCATCCTGTGGGTGGGAGACTCCTGACCATGAGACCTGCCATCCTGTGCTTTGGAAGCTCTGCAGTTTGTAAACAAACTTCCATTTATTCATATAGCTACTTGGTTTTGTCTGGTTTGGTCTCTTTAGAGCAGAACTGGTGCCCTCACATGGTCAAATATTGATAAGAACTGCAGTGATAGGACAAGGGGTAACGGGTTCGAACTGAAGGAGGGGAAGTTTAGATTAGATATTAGAAAATAGTTTTTCATTGTGAGACACTGTCCCAGGTTGCCCAGGGAGGCTGTGGCTGCCCCAGCCCTGGCAGTGTTCACAGCCAGGTTGGATGAGCCTTGAGCAACCTGCTCTGGTGGGAGGTGTCCCTGCCCAGGGCAGGGGGTTGGGACTAGATGACCTATAAGGTCCATTCCAACCCCTAAAATTCTATGATTCTGTGATTCTATGAACTTTGTAGTTCCTATAGAGCCTCTCAGAAGTGAGAGTGCATTGAAATTAGAGGGTGAACATCATCAGGAGCTCCTTGTTCATCCATGCAGTTCCCTTGGTACACCTGCTTGCCTTCCTGCTCATCAGAATGGACCATTTTCAAGCACGGAGGAGGTGATCCTTGAAAATCCACTCCCTCATACACTTGTGATGCACATAAGGGGCAGCAGTGTATGCATAGCTGCAGGGGTGTTGGGTGCTTGAGGCACGGTTTGAAGCACTTGCTATCCATTTGGCACACTTTATCCCCTGCAGAGCTGGGTAGGGGCAGAGCACCAGAGTCATTGCAGTGCCAGATGATGCTAGAGCTGTGGTGATTAAGTGTGGGCATTAGTCATTACTTGTTAAATCATAATTGCACCTAAAACCCACCCCAAGAACAAAGGCTCTGGTGTGCCGGGAGACACTGTGGCTGTTCAGAGAGCTGACAGTGGGAGCAGACTAGGACAGATCACTCCTCTTTACGTGTGGGAAGCTGAGGCCAAGGGAGCTTGGATGGAAATCACACAGGGAGTTTGGATGAGGCTAGGACTGGACTCAGATCTCTTGCCTCTCTGCCCAGTGCCACATGTACAAGCCAGGCTGCTGCTTTAGGGACCAGCTCATGCATGAGTAAAGTCACTTGGTGAGTTGTCACAGCCTTAGTGGCCAGGAGGAGCCTTGGTGTGCATGAAAACATGATTCTTTCCAACTGCATTTAACATGAGCTGCCAGGAACATGATCCTGTTCCACTCTAAGTTGTGCTTACATAGGTTTTCTTCTCATAACACAATCTTTTCCTGTGATGTTGTTTCCCAGTTTTCTGCAGAAAAGCCAAACTTTAACCAAAAAAAAGTCAGGAGATGTTTACATTGTGACAACTCGGTCATTTTTTCCTCTTGAAAAAGTTTTATTAGCAGCAGTTTTTGAAAGGTGCCAGAAACACATCAAGGCTATAAAATCTTTTATTGTGTTTTATTGGTATAAAGAATGTTTTAAAAAAATGTACTCGGTGGATTCCATCCAAAATTGCCTAATGACTGCAGCAAAATAACCTGCAAAGTAGGTCATGCAATGTGCTCACTGCATGGGGTGTGAAGTCAGGGGAAAGCCATGACTGACTCCGTGTGGTTTATGTGCTGTTCACCTGTCTACATCCTGGAGTGGATCTTCATCCATAAACGATGCAGATATTTATGGATTCTCTTGCTGTGGAAATACTGTGTGACCATATCACAGAAACTTTGGCACAAGCCTCAACTGATATTACCCTCCCACTTTATTTTCTATCTGTGCTACACTTTGTGTTACAAAGCCTCTTATC